TTGCTTCTGGCCAAAGGGGATGACCTAGTGAGCAACCTGCAGACCAAAAGGGAAACTGGGCAACAGTGACCATGGGATGATCACTTTCCCCATCCACTGCAAGTCAGGGAAAAAATCAGCCAGTAGGGTAGAAATCTCTGATTTTAGGAAAACGGATTTCCACAAACCCAGGAGATTGGTTGGCAAGGCCCTGCAGCACCACGGTCTGGTGAGGAAGGGAGTATAGGAAGAGTGGTCATTCCTAAAAGAAACAATCCTGAAAGTTTAAAGTAAGTCCATTCCCTTTCACATGAAAAAGTCAGCAAAAGAGCTGGGAGACCACCTTAGCTAAACAGAGAAGTCACAGACCTCCTGAAATTAAAGCAAGAAGCTACAAGGAATGGAAGCTAGGAATAACTACCAAAGAGGAGTTTTCAGCAGTAGCCCACACCTGTAGGGAACAGATCAGGACAGCAAAAGCACAAGCTGAACAAACTGGCAACTGGAATCAAGTTGGAAAGGACTTCTTGGAAACAAGAAGTCCTTTAGATATGTAAGAAGTCAGAATAAGAACAAGGGAAGCATAGGGCCCTGATAAATGAAAAGGGACAGCTGTTAACTAACACTCAGGACAAAATCGAACTCCTGAATAGTTCACATCAGTATTCCACCAGTCCAAGGTTATTAGCCTGCTTGACAGGATACATGACGATCATGGTGAGGGTGACCACCCTCCCACAGTTGGCGTAGATCTTGTGGGGGAGCATCTACAAAGGCTAAATATCTATAAGTCAGCAGGACCAGATGAACTACACCTGAGAGTGCTAAGAACTGGCCATCATCGTAGCTTGACCAATGGTGAAGTTATCTGAAGACTTGTGGCACTCGGGACAGGTCCCAATAAACTGGAAAGAGGTCAATGCGGTACCTATCTTTAAGAAAGGGAGAAGGAAAGACCCAGGAAACTACAGGCCAATGAATTTGACCTCAATCCCTAGTAAAATCCTAGTGAAAATTATCAAAGAATCCATCTCACACAGGCTAACTGAAGGCAATATTCTGAATGACAGCCAACATGGCTTTGTTATGGGCAGGTCATGCGTGACCAACCTCATTTCCTTCTATGATCACATGACTTGCCACCTGGATAGGCGAAATGAGATTGATGTCATATACTTGGACTTCCATAAGGCCTTTGACCTGGTCTCCCACCATGTCCTCATGGTCAAATTGGGAAAATGTGGCCATGACTAACTCATGGTCTGGTGGCTAAGTAACTGGTTCCATGGTAAGACCCAAAGGGTATTGATTGATGGAACTGAATCATCTTGGGAGCCAGAAGCAGGGAGGAAAAGAGGGATCCAGGCACACTTGTGTCCTGCATGCATGTGTGCCCCCTTACCTGACCCAAAGTGGAGGCGGACGCAGCAGCAGCGGAGCCAGCAGCTGATCCCCCTAAGGTAAGTGGACAGAGGGACCGGACGCAGCTGAGCCGGATCCAGAGGGGAAGCCTCCCGGATCCCTTTTAGCTGAGCCGGTAGGGAGCCGCACCCCCGAGCCGTACCTGCGCGAACGGAGCGCGCAAACAGGTGCACTCTGTAAGAGCACGCCGGCGTTCACACCGGCAGGTGAGCAGGAAGGGCCAGGAGGGAGACTCCTGCTAGGGCAGGGCGAAGCACCGCACTAAGCGATAAACAAGCAGCAACTCCTACGATGGTGTCAACACAGAGTGCTGCCAGGGCCCCTGCCCGGGGAGGCGCAGCCTACCCGGGGCTTGTCTGAGGCCTCCACCCAGACAGAGCCCATGGGAGGGCTGGCATCCCCCCCCCTCCCCCCGGCCTGCGGGAGTTGCCCAGCAAGGCCCGGGAAGGCAGGGAATGGGGTTCCCCACACCTGTCCTGCAGGTGCCTGCCTTAGGGCCCTGGAGGCACAGGTGAGGGAGCTCCAGGAGGAGGTTAGCAGGCTGAGGGGAATCAGGGAGGTGGAGGATGAAACTGACAGCTATTTCCTTTCCCTGCAGGGCCATACACCTAAGGAAGAAGCACCTCGGGAAGCGCCCTCCACAGTAGAGTGGCAAACGGTCACCTTCAGAACCAGGGCTGCTCATAACACAGCAGTACTAGTTCCTCCACTCCGGCTGGAGAACTGGTACGAGGCCCTGGCAACTCTGGAGGAGAAGGAGGGAGAGGAGGCAACCAGAGAGGAGGCAACTCCACACTCTCTATGATCCGAGCAGGCCAAAGGAGCTAAGCAGTCCCGAAGGAAAAAGCGTCAAGTGACCGTCATAGGCAACTCCATCCTGAGAGGTACAGAGGGCCCCATCTGTCGCCAGGCACCCCTTGACACGCGAAGTCTATTGCCTACCCAGAGAAAAGATTCAGGATGTGAAAGGGATGATCCCAGCCATGATCTAGCCCACCGAATACTACCCCATGGTCCTAATCCATGTGGGTACTAATGATGCGGCCAGGAGAAGCCCTGATCACCTGATGGCAGACTACCACGCTCTGGGGGGGCGTACTGAAAGAGATAGACACACAGGTGGCTTTCTCTTCTGTCCTATCAGTGAGCGGGTGTGGAAGACAGCATGCGACATGCATCGCAGAGACCAACTGGCGGCTTCAGGAATGGTGTCTTGAGGTGGGCTTTGGTTTCCTCGACAACAACCCGCACATCACGATGAGAGATGCTCGGATGGGATGGGCTCCACCTTTCTCCTAAAAGTAAGCATGTGTTTTCTTCTAGGTTGGTGAATCTCCTCCGGCAGGCTTTAAACTAGGCTCGTTGGGGGAAGGGGAAGATGAGGGTGGAGGAAGCCTTGGACTGCCAAACCAAGCAACACCCACAAGTACAGCCCAGCCTAGACCGACAAGCGGAACATGTACGCAGGTAAGCAACCGGGGCCAAGGTAATGCTGAAAGTAGGGGGCCAGTGCACACATCCTCAGGAGGCCTCAAATGCCTCTACACAAACGCTCGTAGTATGGGAAACGAGCAAAAGGAACTTACCCTCCTGCTAGCTGACACCAACCTGGACATAGTGGGACTCACTGAAACGTGGTGGGACCCAACACATGACTGGGAAATGAATATCAAGGGCTCCAGGCTGTACAGGAGGGATAGGAAAGGGAGGAAAGGTGGGGGTGTGGGGCTATACACTGAGGAGGAATACACATCCTCATCAATTAGCAAGGAATCAG